GATGTACGACAGAGCGCGAACAAGATAAAACCATGGGTTTTTTCCTTATTCTTTCTTGAATACATGAAAACGCTTTAGAAGCCTATTATTCAACAAAGGAAAAGGTCATGGTGAAAGAGTGAAAAAACTCTTGCTCTCTCCCTACACTGGGCATCTCCAAAGAGCTTCTTTATAATAGACTTGAAGATTGGCTAAGACCACGGTTTTACAATGTCGGAAAGCCGCTCTTTTTTTGAACATAACGAGCAGTCGCTATATGGCGACAATTTACACTCAATAACATAAAGCTTATTGAAACACAAATTACACAGCGCATCATTACAGTGTATCTTAGAGGAATCTCCAAACGAATATTCATAGCAAACCCAATTCAAATCGAGTTGAAATCGATTGGCAAGTTTTTACTAAAATACTGCAATCAGTTGGGAAAACAATAGTGCGGCGTCTACCAACAATCAAAACTATCCCCGATCCGAAACTCGGTTCGCTAAAGTAATTACTAGCTCTAACCTTCAACGATGTGCAAGAACATGAACTTAAATTCTCAAGTGTGCAGGCAAGAGATTCACTGTACTGAAAGAGCAGACTAGTATATACATTTTCACGAATAGTGCGACATCAATTAAAAAAATGAATCACAGCATCATGTTTGTACGATACGATCATCAAAAGTAATTAGAATTCACAATTTGCAAAGAAAATGATAATAAAGTTGCTTCTATATATACACACATATGGACCATGTGTTTCATTCCTTTCATTTTGCGGACGCCTAAAAAACAACAGTAAGACTATTTCGTGCAAAAGAAAAGCAGCACCTCAAACATTGTTTTGTTCATTTCGTTATCAGTTCCGCTGTCGTCATCGGATCCAATCTGAACTCCATTTGTCATTCTTTCCTGATTTATTGCCTTCCATTTCGCCAAAGCCTTTGCAAATGTCTGCTTAATCCCAGGAGTTGAAATGGCTGCCGTTGACAGCATTTCGCTGAATTGAAATTTATAATAAAGTTGCAAAAACAGGGTAGGACTTATTACCGCAAAACTTGATTTTCTTGTAGAAGTTGGGCCAATTTCTGCACATCAGCAGAAGTTGAGTCTTCACAGTCTTTCATAAAATCAGACAAATCACCAACGAGTTTCCTAAAAAAAAGGATAATTAGGGCGAAATTACCAACAATCACAAAATACCTAAAGCGTTCTTTGTCCTCAGCTGTATCATCCATACTCTCAGGAAACAATTTAGTTACCTCCTTAAAAGATGGCTGCTTTGAAATCCTGAAAAGAAGAGGCAGACATAAGCAAG